CCGGTCTGTATGTGGGATCCGAACCCTCGGGCGGGAGCGCCGCCGTGCTTCCCAAGCGGCGCACTCACCGGGCCGCAGTGCGCCACCGGGCCAGCCCCAAAACAAACAAGAACTTGATGGAACCTTCTTCTTTCCCCTTATTTTCACAACTGTTTATGAAGATCCTTTGTTTCAGTTCCACATTATAATTTTGTTTTAATTTAGGATCTTTAAGATGGAGAGCACCCCTCCAATGATTAGGAGAGACCCGAGATGGCAACAACGATTTTATTACTTACAGACCCTAGGGATACATGGCACGCCGGGGGGCCACACACAAGGAGGTCAGGGGAGGGAGGAACCCATGGACCAACACCTTTATTGGGATCCAGTGCATAACTAAACAGGTTTCCCAGGGGGAGTTCTAGTTAGCGGATTTAGAGCAAGCAGGCACAAGTTCCAGGAGGTCACACAGTGACTGCGAGGTGGTCACGGTGGCGTATCTGCACAGTTCGTGAGGGTGTGAGGGTCAGCAGGGCCAGTCAAGCAATTGTCCCATTGGGAAGTGGTCACCAGGGAGCAGTTGTGTAAGGTGGGTGTCTGTATCAACCACGTTGAGGAACTTGGGGGTGGGGGGTGTAGACCTGGAAACTGTGTCAAGGGTGACTGAACCCTGCTTCTGGTATGAGAAGCTCCAACTTACATTCAAAACAGATGCCAAGGCAACATAAAATTATAAGAATTCACTATAAACTTATTTCTTATTAAATTTATAGTTTAAGGCTGGCTGGTTTAGTTCAGTTAGTTGAGTGTGATGCTGATAACACCAAGGTCTGGGGTTCAATCCCTGTACTGGCCAGCCAAAAATTAAATAAAAACCACTTGGATATTTTGCATCCTTCTGTCCTGTCATCTATTGTATTAATATGTTAACACTTGTGATCACAGCGTCAAGTATTAGTTTGGGGTGGACCCTCTTGGCCCCAGTGCATTGTTAACTCTCTCCTGATAATGCACAAGAGAAAGAATGTGGTGGAACTCACTGGCCTGGGTTCCAGCTCCAAATATGACCTCAGAGAGATCACTAACTGGTTAGCATGTTTCCCGTCTGTTAAAAACAGGACAGCAATGTCTATACTGCTGACCTCAGGGTTGTGAGAATCACACGAGGAGATGTCAAAACTCCTCGGGAAATGTGAAAATAAGTAGTAGTGTGACTCGTGGTCACTCGCCAAGTTTTCTGCCCCTGATCATTAAAATCCTGAGGGTTGTAGAAGCAAAGGCCGTTGAGCGTGTGCCATCAGCCACTTGAACCTCTTGCTCACGCCGGCCCTTGCTCTTGGGGTGGCAGCCAGGTGAGCCTCCCTGGGTGTCCTGGAGAATCACTTGCTTCCAGCAGGAGAGAGAGATTCAGAAGAATCACTAAAGTGAGAGACCCAAGGAGAAAGAGGTCCGGGTAGGGGGTAAGAGACAGAAGATCCCTGTTTTGGGGGGTTTGTTTTGAGCATATAAAAGCTTTGCGGGGGGCCGGCCCGGTGGCGCACTGGATAGTGCGCCGCTTGGGAAGTGCGGCGGCGCTCCCGCCGGAGGGTTCGGATCCCACATACAGACCGGTTCCCGCTCACTGGCTGAGCGAGGCGC